CCAATATTACTCCCTTTCACTCGTCTCCTGCCGTTTAAAGTAGCCCCTCTCTGGCGTCCCCTCATTTAATTCGACAGCCCCAGCCTGTGTTTTATACTCCCCTTATCATTACGGGCTGACTGCTCCCCTGGCTCCCATCTCACCCTGCCCCCGTCCATCTGCCCCTCTCCCGTGTCCATCCCCCTTCTGTTTTGTTTGGGCTAACGACAGCCTGGGTGTGACCGCCGGCGATAATGGTCGGCAAATATTTGAAGGGACGAGGAGAAAAATCGTTCCCTGGGGAGTTTCCAGGGGGAGGGCAGAGGGTGAGTGGAGGGATGGCTCCGGAGTTGGCGGGGAGGGGGGAGGCTGGGACAAGGAGAGGGTGGGTGGGTTGGGAAGATGTGCAGATGATGCTGTCGGCCTCGGTACATCATAAATCCCCCTCTGGGTGGACGAGGGATGTGGGATGAGCATCCTTTTTATCCCTGAGTCTACTTGGAAAGACAGGCTCCACCTGCCATGGCACCTTGCTGGTGAGGTGGAGATGGGAAGGGACAGAGAAGGGAGAAAAAAGTAATGAAACTACAACAAAGAGAGGAAATTTAGGCTGAATAACTCTGGAAGTCCTCCTATAACTCAGCTGAGGTTGGTGAACTAGTGTCTGAATCCAGGTGCTGACATGGACTGGAGCACACACCGATGGGAAGGAACTCTGGAGAGGGAGGGGACAGTCAGGCCCTGGAGGGCTGTGAGGCTTCTGTGAGTTGCTGGGACAGTGTGAAAGAAGGTTTTGCTTCCCCACAGAAAACATCCAAACAAGTGGGGGGAAAAAAAGGAGGGCAAACCTCACCTCTGTTTGACGCTGCGCTGTGTCTGCTACAGGGCTGGGAAGGGGCAGGTGTTAGATAACTGAGAAAAATGTTATTTAATAAATGCCCTACTAAGAAACCTGCCAAAAAAAAGTGTCCCTGCAAGGACTGGCAGGGAAGTTAAGGGAGTTGCCTGAGGCTGTGCAGCAAAATCAGTGGCAGAGGAGAAAGGGCACCTTGCACAGCTCTGCTCCGTGCCAGGACACCCTGGGTTTCTCAAATAAACCAATGTGCAAACCCCCGAGACTCCAAAGATATATTGGACAAAGCACAAATGGAGAATGGCAGAGATGGACCCTCTCAAGGGCTTTTTGTCTACCCCTCGTTTGAAATTGGCTGCAAAGATGCTGCAAACAGAGGGGAAGGCAGTGGCCAGGTGACCAAGTGACACAATCCTCTTCCCTGGGAACTTCTCTTACATTTTTTTGACAGCATTTCTGTCTCGTTTTCAATCGACACAACCCCTCCTGAAGCTGGTAAAGCTGCCAAAATCTTGTAGTGCGACATCCCCGGCAGCCAGAACCCAGACCAAGAACTGAGCTCGCCCTGTCCCTCCCCGGGATGTCACAGCGACAACGCAGAGCCCTGGACGAGCTTTAAACCCTGGCTCGCAATGAATGTTCCCCCCTCCACCAGCATGATAAAGACATCCTTTGTCAGCGGTGGGGACGGTGACAGCTCCCCAGGAGGGGACAGTTTTCTTTCGCGTGTCAACAGAGAGGGGCGAGTTGGAAGGACCTGAAAGACCGGATGGCAGAAGGGGGTGAAAAAGAGACCTGGAGGAACAAAATTATAAGTTAGCAGCCCTCTCCCCGGACGGGTGTTTTTTTTTTTTAAGGTTTCGCCCGGTTTGAGGGATTTTGAAGCTGCCACCAAACCCGGTCGCTGCAGGTGGCGCTGCGATGTTGGGTTTTAGCGGTGGCTGCGCTCGCCCAAGCCCGGAGCTTTTAACCATCAGCTCCGGCTTTCAGCAACTTAAATACAGTGTTGGTTTAACAAACTTGTAAAATGGCGGGTCAAAATAATGATAATAAAATCTCCAAACAACCCAATTTAGGTTCTTACTTCTCTCTCTCTTTTTTTTTTTTTATTAGTTCTTCTTTCTTTAAATTAGCTCCTCTGCTTTGTTACTGGAGTCTCAAAGTGTACAGATGTATATCCTCGGAAAGAATAGGTGTTTTCTGTTCTTTGGGTGCTGATGGGAGTGATCCCTGTGTGTGGCTGAGGTAATAAGGCATGAAATGAAAGGATGTGTGTGCTGTTTGCTGCCTGCAAACCTCTCCTGCTTGCTGGAGAGGGAGGAACTGCAGAGAGATGCAGAGATGCTGTTGGCATCCAAGACTTCATGAGCAATGGAAGGTGTTTTGGGGCAGCAGGAGGGAAATCAGGCTGTTTGGATGGAGACAACATGACTTTGCCTCTTCCCAGAGGATGCTGAGAGCAGCTTTGGTGCTGTTTGGTGGGTTTTCCCCCAGGAATGGAGCAGTGGGGGTGCCCAGGTTCTCTCCCTGATTTTTTGCTGTGACCTGGGGGGAAAAATATCCACTTGATGACAACAGGGTGAGCCTGAACCCTCCTTGTCCTTGGGCCTTTTTACTGCAGTTATTCACGGGTCAGGGGAGGTCATTTGGGTTTTCCAGCCCTAACCCTTTTCCGCCCCCGCTGCCCAGTTCATGAAAAGGCCTATAAATAAAGTCCCATTTGTCACTCACTCCTTCATGAACCCAAACAGCACAGGCATATATTGACTCATGCCATTGTCTTAAGAAGCAGAAAGAACTCGTCTTAATTTCTTCCTTCCCACCAGATAGCGGGAAGTAATCTCGGCATATCCAGATTATCCCTGTTCAGCGGAACAGCCTGGTTTTAAATGGAAGACCAAATTTCCCAGAGATTTTCATATGTTTTTATTAAATGGAGCTGCAAGCGAGACTGGACATTAAATAATACTGTATTGCTTACAGCTGAAGTGATCTTTAGAGGTTACTAACCTGCCATTGTATCTCTCAGATTTCTGTCTCGCTCTTCCATTGTCATTTTGCTGTGTTATTACTCTTCAGGCTTCACATAGTGTTCATTTCTCTGAATGAAAACAAATGACTCCTTGCAAGAGGCAGGAGATAAAGAATAATAAATACATTTTATGCACCACCTTAAAAAAAAAGGGCTCAGAATCCCCATCCATCCATCAGGAAATGTAAACCAGAGCTCAGGCAAAACACACACAGGCGCGCTCAGGCACGAGCCCGGGAGATAAAACTTGTTTTAAGGAAAACATGATATTGTTTAAAAATAAATATCTTGGAGGATGCAAATAGACAGCCCCCGGCCCCCGTGTTTTGTGGCATAAATTTAAGATAATTAAAAATACAAAGCTCGGATTAAGCCTGATTTTCTGTGAATGGGAGAGGCTGTGGGGAGGAGGGGGAGTCCTGCTGTGCCTGGTGCTGTACAAGCTGCCCCCGAGAGGCAATTCTTGCCTCCCGAGGGACAATCCCTGCCTCTGATCGTGGCTATCGATTGCCACGAGTGGTGGGACCCCCTTCACCAGCCACCCCCTGCATCCCTGCTGGATGCCTTCTACTGGGGAGAGGGAAGCTGTAGGATCAGCCCCGGAGTTTTGCCCTTCCTCTCCTGATGGGCCAACACTCCTGAAAAGAATCTCTTTGCTTCCACCCTTCCCTAGACCTGTTCAAGGTGCCCATCCTCGTGGCATCAGGGCTCCCAGGGGAAGGCAGCCCTGTTGCTGCGTGCTGCCATCAACACCCTGAGAGCATCCCCTTCCTTCCCACCATCTGCTGTCTGCTCCGCTTTCGGCCAGAGGAGAGCTGGGATATTACCTGCAGAGAGGACATCGGGTCTCTGCACGGTGGGAATGAACTTGTGGAGCGGGATCTGCTCCGTGGGGCATCCTGCCGGACACCAAACTCAGGCAGGAAGCACTAATAGCTTTTAAAAAATACTATTATTCCTGCGGCTGCCGGGAATTAAAGGAAGCCCCGGCGAGCGGAGCAGCTTGCAGCCGCTCTCCAGGATTACTGCTCACCCAGGCTGAGAGATTGATCTTCCTCTGAGCCTCCCCACGCCCGCTCTGATCCGCTCTCCTCCTCGGTGTGTCCAAGCCGGAGGAGAGCAGCGGGGCACAGGCTGGAGAGGGAAGGGAAAACAGATGCCAGGACCGGGAAGGGTTTTTCTGGCGAAGGAATGGGGGGAAGCAGCGAGGTGCGGTTGATTCCTTGAGTGGGTTTTGGGTTTTATTCTTTTTTTTTTTTTTTTTTCTTTTTGGGCAGAGACATTTCCCAATTAGCCCAATCAGGCTGGAGATCCTAGGTGTCAGTAGTGAGTAGGAGCGAGGGAAGGCACAGGAGGAGGAATCCAGGCAGCCGGAGTTCCAGCCGTGGGAGAGCGGCGGCGGCGGTGGCAGCCCCGGGAGGCGGCCCCGCTCCCCTCCCCGTCCCCATCCCCATCCCTTTCCCCATCCCCTGCAAACTTTAGGACGACGAAAAGCTGCTCGGGGGACCCCCCTCCAGAGACAACCTGCGCTCCTCCGCCTTCTCCTCTCTCCCAGAGGTGGGTGGGCTGGAGAAAAGGAGGAGCAACCGGCCACTCTCTCTGCAAAGAAAAAAAAAAAAAAGGAAAGAAAGAGAAAAAGGATAGAAAGGGATTTTTATTATCGCTTTAATTTTTTTTTATTATTATTGTTATTTTTTATTATCCTTCCCTGGTGTATTGGGCTGGCGTTGCCGCCGCACTTCCACACCTCTCCGGCTTTTTTTTATTTTTTATTTATTTTTTGGGGGGGAGGAAGAGGGGTGTGTGCCTGTGCGTGGTGCCTGCGTTGGCAAAAGAGCCTGGGTGTCCAAGCCCGCTCCCGCAGCAGCCACCATTGGCGAGGAGGAGGGCTGGGGAGGAAGGGCTGGCGAGACAGCCGCAGTGCGAGCCCTCCCCGGCGGGCGGGAGGCCGCGGCGCCGGGCGCGGAGCCGGGCATGGCCCCGTAGCGCATCCCCTGCCTGCAGCCCGCCTGCCTGCATCCCGCCTGCCTGCTCCTCTGCCTGCCTCCCCCCCACTCCTTACTGATTTACAGGCGGGGGGGGGAGAGGGAAGGGCTGGGGGAGGGAGGGAGGGAGGGAAAGAGGGAAGGGGTAATTTGGGGGGGGAGTGAAAACTGGAGCTGCGTTTCCCCCCCCCACCCCGCCCCGCGCTTCCACCCCCCCCCGGCTCTGGGCGAGCCAGACACGGTTTGCCCAGTGCAGAGAGAGGGGCTCCGTGTTCCGCCTCCGTGGAGTATTTGGGATTGGAGAGAGTGACACACACACGCACACACACACACACACGCACACGGAGACCATCTGCAGTGTCAATGCGGCGCCTGCTCTGAAGACTGAAGTGGGGGGAAAGGAGAAGAGAAAAAAAAATAATATATATATATATACACCAAAACCCACCCAAAGCAAGCGAGGAGCACTGCCAGGTAAGGAGCCCCCCCGCCCCGCCCGGGCGGCAGGGGCTGCGGGAGGATCCCCGGAGGATGCCCCGGGAGGGCCGGCGGGGCTGCAGCGGTACCTGCCCCGCACACCTGGCGGCGGTGGAGTGGGGCCCTGGGAGGGGCTGCTCCCCAACCCCGGGTCCTGGGGAGGGGGTCGGGGCTGGCGGGCAGGGACCCCCGTGGACAGCGGGCTGAGCCAGGGGGCTCGGGCACGGCCCCTCCCGGCCCGGCTTGCGAGGATGCCGGGGAGGGGTGGGGGTCGCAGCGGGGAGCCCCCCTCCTTCACATCCCCAGCGCGCAGGGGACGCGGTGCCCGGTGTCCCCCCGTCCCTGGGTCCCCGATGGCTTTTTCCCCCATGCACAAGGCTCAACTTTTCTCCCCGGGGGTAGCGGCTCCAGCGGCGCAGTCCGTCCCTCATCACCCCCGGCTGTGGATTTTCCTCCCCTCGGGGGGTATTTTCCCCCTTCGATGCTCCAGCGCTTTCCTTGGGCGAGGGGCTGGAGGCATTAGCAAACTTTTGCTGCTCCCGGTGAGGTTGCAGCTGGACGGGGCTGGAGGCAGAGCCCTATTCCCGGAGAGGATAACACCTCCCGGGTGACCGAGGGATGGGGACATGGGCCACCCCCGGTGGTGAGCACCTAGGGGGGAAGGGGAGACCTCCGTCCTTTCCCTTCCTGCGAGGTGCTGGAGAGTTTTCCTGCCCAAATCCCGGCTGCGGAGTCAGCGCTGCTAAACCTCCCTCCTTCCCTCGGTGCATGTGTTGTGCTGCAACCGAAACCTGCGTATTGATGCTCTGCGTTTATCAGACATATGCCCTTAAATTATGTAGACAGCGAGAAGTGATCTAAACACCGAGCCGCACATGGTTTTGGTGGAAATCTAATACTCCGGCAGCAGATGAATTCCTCCCAGATAAACAAACCCACTTGCTCAGCCCCAGCAGGGCTAAGTGCTGTTTGGGTTTGTAGCGGCTGCATGTGGCTGCTCCATCCCCAGCCCAGAGCAAACCCTCCTCCTCCTGGGGCTCCATCTGCTCCCGGTGTCGGGAAGGGATGCAGCCAGCGTTCGCGGTGCTGGATGCGGATGTAGGACCTTCAGGACTCGCCTTCATGGAAAGGACCAGGTGGAGAGCGTGTGGCTGTGCTCCTCTCCCGTAAAACTTCCACCCCGCTTTGCTTCCCAGCCCTGCCACCGGGCAGCCGTGCCAAACAGCTCGCTGGAAACGCACCTGATTTTCCATGGCTTCCCTCCGCTACCGGGATGCGGTGCCTGGGATGAGAGGTTTTGGGTAAAGCGAGCGGGTTCTGAGGCTTTCGGGTGGTGGGGGTGAGTGGTGCAGAGGGAAGGTTTGGATCGGGACACCTGAGATTGCTTGGGGATGCTCTTGCTCCGCGGGAACAATGATGGTGTCAGGGGATTTTTACAGCCTATGCAACCGCTCGCAACCTTCTAGAGACTTATCTTGAGCATGCACTAGTCCTGCACAAATATTTCGGGAGGCGTAAAGCGTGCTAACTTATTTTCTTTATCTATCCTCTGTTTCACCGGGGTTTCGTTTATAGAAACCGGTGAAACCCGTAAGCGGGCAGGACCAGCGGAGCGAGGGGTTGCTCTGCCTTTGCCGTCTCGGGGATTTTAATTACGGCGTGTGCCTCCCAATGCGAGATTAGGTGCTTTTTCCCCTGGCTAAGCCACTGGCTCAAGATCCAGGGGGTGCGAGCAGCGTTTTGTTTGTGGTTGAATCGCCTGGGGAAGCGTGTGTTTGTTTGTTTGTGTACGGGATCCTTCGCTAGAGCCGGGCTTCCAGCGGTGCAACAGATGTGTGTCTGCTTCCCGTGTGCAGCCAGGTTTGAACATGCAATCCCAGCCCCGTCACGGAAGCCTGGGATTTTCATCCCTCCTGCGCCCAGACCCATCCTCCGTAGGGGTGTCTCCTTTCTGAAAGGACCAGTCCAAGGCTTTTTCCCTCTGTCCCATCTTAAACGTGCGGCGATATCGATACGATGCGCGATAACTGACAGCCGCATGATCTAAGTGTTGTTTATGTCCAAGACGGGTGTTTTAAAATCCAGACTGATGATCAGTCGCGGTGCTGTTGGGGAAGCATTTGCTTGATGATTGTAACTGCCTTGTAGGCGCCGAGGGCTGGTGTTAAATCTACTCAGCGATCAGCCCAGCACCTGGCGAGCAGGAGGGATGAGCGCTCTCGCAAATCCAGAGGGAGATGCTGAACTTCTCCACAGGGAGAGGAAATATTCGAGCCTTCCCCCCATGCATTCACCTGCCAGCATCCCTCTCCGCGCCGCAGCCAGCCTGGTGCCAGACAGCCTGTGGATGTGGCAAAGCCCAGGGCTGAGCACAGGCACGGGAGCGGCTGAGATCCCTCGCCGGGAAGGCAGGAACCGTCTTTGGAAGCCGAATCCCGAGGGGCACCGGGCTGCCGGAGCCGGTTTCATGTCGAATCCTCTACTTTTGCAGGCTGAGGAGGGGAGGAGGGACGCCGGAGCCCCTTTTGTGTTGCATCTTTTTCCTTTTACCGAACCGCTTTGTTTCTGCCTCCCAATTTCCTCGATGCCGAGCGGCTGCAGTAAAACCAAACCTCCCTCTGGCAGCGCCGGGGTTTGATTCGCGCGCTCACACGCCCCAGGGTGAGGAGCCCTGCAAGGTCTTACGGTGCTCGGGCGTGCTGAGGGTTAACGCCGTGTAGGAATTAATTTCTCATTTGGAAGGGAGCTCTGCGAAGCTCCCTGCAAAGCTGAGAGCGGCGCTGGCACAGTGGGCTCGTGTTCCGCGTTGGGATCCTACGTGGGGAGGGTGTTGGAGGTAGAGTTGTTGAGTTTCGGAGTTAGAGGTGCCAAAGTTTGTGGCTTGGCACTGCCTACACGTGTTTTCGAGCAAGATGGTGTGCTGCCCCGGGAATCACTTGGCTCCTCCTGATTTATTATTCACAATACTCCTTTATGAGGTCTCCCATGGCTGAGATTGAGACCCCGTGGCTGAGACTGAGACCCCACATCGCCTCTTTGCAGAGGGGACTCAGAAGTCTCACGTCTTGTCCATGAATTCTCCTCTACAACCAGAGATGTGTTTTGGATTATGAGTTTCCCCTGGTAGAGCCCTCAAACTGCTTGATGCTCAAATAAAAAGCCCTTTCTGGTCCCCACCAATGTGACTAAAGGCTTCAGAGGGCTCTTTCTTACTCCTTCTTGCTTGCAAGACTCAGTTAATGGACACCAACCGCTCCAGGCGCCCAAGGCAACGAGACTTCCCGTCTGTGCTGAGAGTCTGGGCAACCCACTGACTTACTGCAGGGCATCAGTGATGAGCGTGCTTCCCTGCATGACTGTCTTCATGTGAGAAGTGCTTTATACCCTTTAGCTCTGAGCTCTCAAGGAGCCTGTGACCAAAAAAAGAAAAAAAATAGAGAAAAAAAGAATTACATAGAATTACGCCCGGATGTTTCTCGCTCAGGCTCTGAAGGATTTTAGAACAGTGGGAAAGTGTTCTCTCGTTCCCACGGTGTGGGTTGGGAAACTGAGGCACAGAGAGGCAAAAAGCTCAGTCTACATTTATTGATGGGAATTCTCACTCATCGCCACGAAATGCAAACTGAACCCCAAGTTTGATGGTGGGAGCAGGGAGTGCTGTCCTGCCCTCAAGGCTGTGCTTCAAGGGCCAAGAGCAATCCTTGGTCACAACAGGACACTTTCGAGATTGAATTTTTTAATTAAAATGACAAATGGGTGCTTTTGAAATGAGACAATATCATAGAATGGTTTGGGTTGGAAAGGACCTTAAAGCTCATCTGGTTCCAACCCCTTGCCATGGGCAGGGACAGCCAAACATCTTGGGTTAGTGGATTGGCCTGGGGGCAGCTGTGCCCTCACGAACCTTGGTCCTTGTGTCTTTGAAAAATTTGGTACAAAATGCTTTTAATCACCTTTGGGAATGGAGAGATCATTGCAAAAATGATGACCTGAGATGCCTACAGTGTGTGTGGTGATTTTCTGGAACTGGCATTCTTCCTTGGGGTTTTTTTGACTCATCCCACAAGAACTGTCTGGGGTTTTTTTGTTCTTCACGTGTGCATGAGCTCTGTAACTTTACCTCATCCTCGAGTGGTTGAACCTTGTGAGGTGCTGAGCAGCCACCCAGGGAAGAGGTGCCAAGTCTGCATCCCCTGCAACAGGAACCAGGGTACGGTGGCATCTGCCCTGCACCCTTTCCTTTATTAAAAAACCCTCTGTGAGCCCTTAGAGATGCTGGGAAGGCTTTGAACGGGCACCCTTTGGTTTGAAAACCCCATGGCCACTTCACTTCAGATACCTGCAAGCCTGTGCAGCTCCAGCTGATGTGAACCTTGCCAGGTGATTCCTGGAACATGGGAAGCCAGCTTTTTGCTGAAATACAGTGTTCCCAGCTGTTTGCATCTCCAATTGTTTGTAGAAGGCACCAAGTTCTCAGAACCCAAAGACCTGAGTGACTGGGTTGAAACCCCCATCCCCACTGTGCTTCCTGTCAGCAGGTGGCTTTGGCTTTTACCTGGGGGAATCACTAGAAAGAGAGAGGTCATTTGCAGACTCTGTGACTTTCTTTTACTCCAGGCTTTGCTGCTGAGAGGGTTTTCCAGTGTTCCTTAGATACTTCATGCTGGGAAACAGAAATCCAGATGCAAAAGTCAAGAGGCTGAGATTCCCAGGTTTCTTTTGCAATAGAGATAAACAAAACCTCCCACTAAATGTGGCTGGATTTGCACTGATGACCCAAAAAGGAGACCCTAAATTGCCAGTTCTCCTGGTTTTCATCCTGCTCTCTGAGTTTCCTTCCAGCTCTATTATCCATACACGAGTGGTCTGCTGGGGCTTTCCCACCCAGCCATTGGCAATAAATTTCCAGGAGCTGACTGGCACTTGAATTTGCCTTGTCCTTCTGACAGGACGAATGTGTGGCTCTAACACAGATAATATGGGATAGGTTTCCATTA